AATGAAGTTTGAAGCAGAAGTGTTATTTAAAATGCCCAAATCCTTGGTCTTCTTGATTGAGCTCTAGTAAGAATTTGGAAAAAAAAAAGTCCATTGTATACATATTTTTTTGAAGATTATATATATATAGATAGATAGATAGATAGGACTATCACACATTAAACTCTGACTTGCTGTAAGAATATACTTTTGAAAAATGGTCATAATTAAAAAAAAGTTGAAAACAATGCATCAGGCCAGATCCAGCATTCACTCTGGGAGACCCCAAGAACAAGGCTTTTTTACCCTCCATTTTCTGTCTATGGTATACACAAAGGGACTACTGATGAGGGAGGAAAGCCAACATACTACCTGTTGAGTCTAGTTTTGCAGGTGATGAAATTGAGGCTTAAAAGAAGTGGTTATTTGTTGTGGAGAGCCACAGACCTTACTGGCAGAACCTGGACTAGAATTTGTGTCTTGACTCTAGATCTGTTATTTTACCACTATTTGTACATGCCTTATTGGCCTGAAGGAATGACAGCCTCCTCTCATTTGAAACCTTTGTTTGATTCAGTGTTGGCTCAGAAGCTATGAGATCAGTTGTGCACCAGGGGAAAACTTCTTTCTAAATGCAAAGACAAAGCATCTTTTCCAAATAACAAAGTTAACAGTCTTCTTCTTCCTTATCTGAGGAATGCAAATTTCTCTTTTAAAAAAAGCAAATAATAAAGAGCTTGGTCTCCAACTCACAGAAGTTGGTTGGGACCAGTTAGTGGGATAGCAGGATTTCTGGAACACTGGCTAGGTAGGCATCTCAGAGCCCAAGGTCTCTTGCCTCCCTAGCTTGGGATTGGAATAGCCACTAAACTTCAGTCTTACAGCAAAGCTCCACCCCAAACAGAGACTTCCACCTGATCCTTAGGTATATGCTTCAGACTTGCTGTGGTCTAGTCATCTACCCACTGTGAGAGAGCTTGTCCTCCTTGTAGATCAGCACTTTCAATCCCAAATCTTTTGAATTTTCTACAAATATTTATCAGGTGCTGATCCACCTGTAATCATTTGTTAATGATTTGTCTGGATCTACTTCCAAAGGAATCTTCTGAAATTGGCCCATCCTGTTTGCATCTTTCTTTAGAGAATGAGGGCAGAATAGAGTGAGACTGATATGTTTGGGGTAGGAGAGAGGAAGGGAAGGCTGAGGAAGCACAGATTCAAGAGGGCACAAAGATATAAGGACACCAGTGGCTGCCTTCCTGCTCCCTCTTGAATCATGCAATCTGTAGATCACATGCCTGAGACTAAAAGGACCAAATTACTCTTGATAACTCATGGTTGACACCTTTAGAAATTCTGGAATTTGAAATAGTAAAATTTTTCAGATTTCTCTTTGGTGGTGGGATTCTTTAAAACCATTCTCATAATTGCACATGGAAAAGGAGTCCTTTTCAGGACCAGGATTTTTGTTGGTTGGGTTAGAAATGGGTGGGGATAAAGGGAGGAGTGGGAGCATTCTCTACTTTTCGCACTTGGCATATTCACTGTAGACATCAGGCGCCAAACTGTAAGAGAACACTGTTCTAAGGGGCCTTAAAAAGTTAATGTCATCTACACTATCAGAGGACAGTTCTCCTGGCTGCTATCAGTGAGCAGGAACAGATGTCTGAAGTACACTGGAATTCATTGAGAAACTGGATTGTAGAGATTATGGTGAATTCTTTCATTTTCCTACAAAACTATATTTTGGAAAACTTTATGCTGTCAATTAAAGTTCTTTTGTGTAAAACTGGTCTCAAACCTTGATATTTCATTCTAAGTGGCTGAAACTGCTACTAAGATGATTTGTGGAGGGGCAGGATATTTGGTACAATCTATGGAAGTTACTGATAAGATTAGCAAAGGCGTAATGAGAGAAGAAAGATCAAGAAAGCAGATGAAAATTAAAGGCAGAAAATGAGGAACGTACAGGGTGTTAGTGGACAGCTCATCAGATCTTCAGAGATCAGAGTACCTTAGCAACCACAGACTACCTTCCACTGTTTTCCCTTCACCTTCTATGCAACTTAAGTGAGATCTGTGGGACACCCACACGAAGCACTGAAGAAGAGAGCCCAGTATTACATTCCATCATCATCATCATTATCATCATCCTCCTCCTTGACTGGCTACAGGATCTGGATATTTTCCAATTGTCTTACCAATTTTGCTGATTCCAATGGGAGAAAAATGTCAATGACTCAGTTCGTAGGGACTGTGCTCATTTTTTTTATACAGGACACCGTAATAAGACACAATGTGGAAAAGTGGGAGCAATGCATTAGTTGGGTATCAGCATGTAGGTTAGAATTAGGGTATTTCAAGATAAACTTTTGAAGCATTCCAGGATCAGGAAGGGAGATGAATGAAGGAACACCCAGGACAGGACCTTGGCCTTCCAAGCAGCAGAGACTGTTCCAAGAAAAATGACTTGGAGTTTATCACTGGTCACAAATTGGACCAGAGGCTCTACAGTCTTCTTGGACATGCCAGTTACCTTTATGGCCTGCCAGCCACGAGGCCAGGTTCTAAATTTTATGTCCTGACCTCTGCAGCTTGCTCTTCCTCCACAGTCTCTACCATCAAGAGGTATGTAGAAAAGACATCTACCCACATTCATGGTATGTGGGCTGGGTTCTGACACTAGCTAGGGTGTCTTGATGAGTCCATTAACCTGAAATAGTGATAGGTTTTGGTGAGGGAGGTGGCTTATTTTAATTGCTAAGTACAACTGAAACAACTTAAAAGTGTTAAGACTGCTTTAGAAATAATTGAAACCCTCTTAATAGTCCTATCCTAGTGTTTCTCTTTAAGGATACTTAAGTGGCTAGGTGGCCTAGTGAGTCACTTAACCTGTCTCCCTCAGTTTCCTCAACTATAGGATAAGGACAATAGCTAATCCCAGAAGATCAAGTGAGATGGACAGCAGAGGTAGGGAGAAGATCTGGGGATGATAAATGTTGGTTGGACAGATCTGACTAACAGATCAACCAAGCACCGTCAAACCTGTGCCCAAAAGGCGATTTCAGAAATGGGCTGTCTGTATCTCAGCAAAACTGCTGCAAGTATCTTATCATCTCTCTCTCCCCCTTCCATGGTCACCAACTGCCAGACCCCAATAACACACACAGACCTGGACCTTGGGTCGGCCACTTCTAGTTCCTAATCCCCCTTTTGCAGTGGATAAATACGGTGCTTCTCTTGCTGATGGCCTCTCCATCACTAAAGAGGCAGAGGAGATTATAAGAGTGCTATTGATCATCTTCATGTCTCAGCCCTGGCCACTAGAAACTATCCCAGTACTCTACACAAAAACCCCATCCTCCCATTGCAGTATTAAAACGGTACGAACGTGAACAGGCTCTGAGAATTTAAAAAGAACAATCTATGTAGCTTTTCAGATATCCATTTACCATCCTATTTAGTTATTCTGAAGGGATGTTGGTAAGAAAGCACTGATTGTGCTTCGGTGTCAGAAAGGCCTAAGTAAAAAACAAAAACAAAAAACTACACCTCCGACATAGGCCTTGGGACCTCGAGTGAGGCTCGAGTCTTGGTTTCTTCATCAAAAACCGATTACAAAAACATCTATACTCAGGATTGTTAGGATCAAATGAGAATGTGTAGGAAAAATATGCTGCCACCTTCCAGGACTACGTAAGTGTCAATTATTATTGAGTCGACTGGTCAGTTTTCCTGACAGCATTTTTCCAGGAGGGGGGAACTATCTTTCATAAGGGTCTGCATTCATACACTTGGAAGTTTCCTTTTTTGCCTATGGTGATGAGGGAGGGGGCCAAAGCCCCTGGAGAAAAGGGACTCCGTTCTGTGTATTAAGGCTTAAATCTAGCAGCATCAGTTAAGGGAAAATTTGTGGTCAACGTTACTGAGATTCTGCAGAAAGGCATCCCAACTGGAGCCAGTAAGAATACAATAATGGAGACAAGACCATATGTTTCCCCACGTTCCTGGCCTTATCATCCTACATCACTCTTTCCTGTTTTGAGGACACACAGAGAAATGTTATTTATATGCCATACTCAAAGCATGCCCCAAAATGAAGTAGGGAAAGGGTTATTTGATTTGCAGATTGAAGAAAATTTCTGCCACAAACAAGCCAAGAATCTCATTCCATAAGAGCTAGATATATGATAAAGCCAGGAGAATGCAAGCCAGATAAGGAAAAGGAAAAATCCGTAGCCCAGCATCATGGAAATACCTGGTTGACTATACATGACACATGCAGCCAAACCTGGGAGTAAACTTGGACCTTGTACAGAAGCCTACACAATTTGTGTAGCAACTAAAAACATTTTTTTTTAAAGCTTAGGACCGTTATGACCAACCCACCACCCCTGATTTTGGCAGCTACATTTCCAGGGACCTTTTTTTTCCTTCTCCTGGGAACCCACAGGCAGAAATTCCTAGATCACTACCATTATTTGCCAAGTCATTCCTCTTCCACATTATTTTACACACATAATCACCACACGTGATTTAAATTCCTCTTTTATAGGACCTACTGCAATAGACACGAGTTCTACTTAAAGCAAACTCAGTATATAAAAATATGATATTGCGAAACCAGGCAAATACTCAATTTACTAAAGTGTTAACTTCACAAAATAACTTACCATAGAGAACCCTTTAACTAGGGAGCTCCCTAAATCTGTTTTAAATTGATTTGACAAAATTCTCTCTACAAACATTTCCAAAAACACCTGTCATTTGAGTTTCTAAAACCTACTTCTTTATTCCTGTTCCTTGTAGTTTAGACAATCCTAAATAACTTACCCAGGACAAATTTCCTACCTCCCTTACCTTCTTAGTCTCCTTGTTAGGAATCCAACTCTTCTTTATGAACGCAGTTCAACTTAAACAAAAAGGGGATGGGGTAGGAGTAGAGTGCCCAAGTAATTTAATGGTCAGTTTTAAAGGGTACTCTTAAGAAGCCCCCCCCCAAAAAAAAGACACATCCTGCATTTCCCATATACAACTTTTTATTAAGAAAAAATGAACAAAATACATTCTTTCTCCATATGTACATTACATACAACATAATTCTACAATTAATTGTTCAGCAGATCGCTCATTCATTTATTCACAGAGTAGTGCTCACATATTCACCAAACCAGGGATCAAAAAATTACTTGTGCTCAAAGAAAAAAAAAAGTATTCTACTGATCAAAAAAAGAAGAAACCCAGGAAACAGAGAGGAGGAGGAAGGGGAATGGTGATTTAAGAAGGAGGGGAAAAGAGCCCAGCACAGATGTCATAAAACCTCAGTGAGAGAAGAAAATGATATCTAATGAAATCTGGTGTCCTAAAGTCTGACTTGTTACCGAGGTACAAGTCCACCTCATATTCATTTTGACTTTCTCCAGTTCCTCATGCCTCTCATTGATGGTTGGGGCACCCCTGGACACAGCCCTGAGCACATATGTGCAGGAAAGCAGGAATACAGCACTGTAGACAGACCACAGTGGCATTTCTTTTCTATATAGTAATGTGAGTTCCATAATAATAAGGATGTGGGGAGGAGGCCCAGGTCATCAACGCAAATTTCTTAGATGAGAAAGTTATCAGCTTTCACTAACAACATGCTCATTTCTCATCTATGTAATTTAACCTCTGTTTCTCTAAGTGAAAAACTCGACACAGCCTTGTGAGGACAAAAGTACTTTTTTTTTTTAAAGAGACAACTGTAATTCTAATGCCAGAAGGGGTAGTTTCTATCTAAAACTTCCATCCTACAAAAGGACATGACTCAGATGTTCATGCCAATGCGTATCTGATTTTGAAGCCCAAGCACTTTGCAGAATAACCTGTTAAACTGAAACATCTACCACCATAAGCAGGACAGCTCATATCCAGCAGAGTGATTTTCTACTAGTAAAAATTTTCTTCAGATCTCTATTGAGAAATGGGAATAACTTGAAAGTACCTAAGTTTTATCCTTAACAGGCACCCATGAATGAATCTCCATGTTAACAATTAGAGCACAAAATAGAGGTTCTCTTGAAAAATCAGTTTATCACAAACTTTCTACCATCTCTATGGTGGTTAAAAAGCCAAAGGAAATGTAAAACTAATAAGTGTCATTAAAAACTTTCAGCAGTAAGAAGTTGTATGATCTGATTGCTAGAAGTCTATGTGTCTGATTTGGAATGTGGTGAGAAATAGATTTTGGAGAAAGGGTTCTGGCTATGCATGCCATACCATCTCTCTTTTGGGCCTCTATTTTTGTGGCTTATGAGTTCTACCTCTATCTGAAAGCATTAAAGATTCTTCCTGTTGGCTGTGAAAAAGTCAAAGTTGAGCCAAAGTCAAAGACGAAGTTTTACCCTATCATGCCCCCAGCTTGCCAGCAAACACTTTTTACACCAGAATGAAAAATTCTTGCCAAAGTCCAAGAAAAGAGAGAAGACTCCAAGTATTGAACTTCTATAGGGCTGCATAATTGATGTGAGGCAATACACTAATATTGAAATAATTCCTTTCAAAAGGCACCTCACACATCCTAAAAGTATAAGTTGGCTTGAGGACCAGCACAAACACCACATCTCTGGGGCAGGATGAATTTCATGAGAGAAAAATAAGCGAATCATCATGTCTTCCTCTGGCATGCTTTCAACTGACAAGGCACTCATTTGCAAATTGTCAACTGAAATATATACCTTCCTGTAGCATCAGTCTGGGGGAGAACTGCAGAGGGATATAGGCAGCTGAGTTCTTTTTCTTTACCCCCCCCCCAATTCAGTAAAAAGTAAAGCAGATAGCAGGCTTTCTCATAAGAACTGGGACAGGTATGGTCATATATTCGCTTCATTATGTTGTAGCATCACCAAGTGGCAGCAGGATTGTCTCTGCAATCACATAACTTGTGAACTCAACTTCTGAAGTTACTGAGGGCTTTCACAGCACCACTACATGTCTGCCAATGAGCTACTAAATTGACAAAGAAAAGGCAATCCCAGGGCTTCTGGGGACAAGAATCTGGACAGCCTACCTTAAATACAGGAGCAATTTCTTATAAAATTCTTTAGGAGGAGTCACAAATTGTAGCTAAGACAAGGGCTAAATAAAATAACTTGAGACTGTGACTAATTTATGCACCTGGCCTTAACTGGATCAAATCAGATAATCCTTTGTTACAATTGTCCATGTTCCCACAGAACTGACAGGGCTCCTTCTTGGGTTTTCTAATAGGTAAAAAAGAGACAATCTGGGAAGGAAATTTCCTTAACAATCTTGGACAAGGGTATTGAGGTCTATGACTTTTTAAAAAGAAATACTTTCATAACTATTACAATGTAATAAATTTCTGTTGTAATCCTATGTGTTTTATGTATTTAAAAACATTATTCTGAGAAGGGATCCATGACAAAAAAAAAAAGTTTAAGAACCTCTGTTCTATGACTTTCAAATAACATCTCAGACATGGGTGTAATTTTCCTTAAAAGGAAAAAGTTAAACAAAACCAAAATCACTTAAGATCCTGATGTCAAAGCTAGAATTCATATATTCCATGAGAAAATAAACAAAGACCCTGAGTTTATGTATGATTAGTTTATTTTAAAACATGGACACCAGCTTGATTCTAAGCAAATTTAGTTTAGGTTTTATGTAGTCATGAAATGACAATTCTCCCCCTTACCCCTTAATCCAGCTAGAAAATGAAGGCTAACCAGATGCCAAAAATTAAACACAATAATTACTTTTTTGAGAGCTGTTCGAAAATGGGGGGGGGGGGGCTTGTACTGGCTATCTGAGCAGCCACCTTAATCATAAACACAGGCCTGCTTAGTATATCAGAACACTTTTTCTTTGTTGCCAATTAATTTGGCATTCATTAAGCATCAAATGGAACCGAAGACTGGTGACATTTGCATTCATTAAGCATCAAATGAAACTGAAGACTGGTGATATTGTCAGGCTAGTATTTATGTGGCAGACAGCACAGAGATCCAGACCAACTGCCATGAATGCCAGCAACCCAGATGGTACACAGCTCACCACAGTACAGGGCTACAGAGACAAGCAAGTTCTGTGGGACAGCAACATTTGCAAGGGAAGTTTTATTCCTATTTTCTATCAGCAAAGGGCTACATGACTGTTCAGCAGAAGAAGCTCTCTGACCTAAGTCAGACCAAGACTCCACATCACATCCACATCCACATCTCTCCATCAAGATCTCTAACAGCTATTTCAGTGTAAGGTAAGAAATTTATACATCAGACCAGTAATGAAATGCCATTCCCCAAGGACTACAGGATTAATTTGACATTCTGGAGGCAAAAAAAAAAATCCTTTTAATCACCTCTTTCCATAACATTGCAGCACAGATTAGAAGTCTGAGTTCTTCAATCCTGCTATATAATTTATATCAATGTTTTCCAGTCCAAATTAAACTGGGTAAATATCTTTTTAATGACTACTCAAAAAAATAAACAAGTTTTTGACAAGGAAAAGTTTTTGTTCTGGAGGAAGAGATAAAATCAACATTAATTTCAATTACTACTAGACATATATACTTTCAGTCGCCATCCTGCTCAGAGAAGGGTACTGATATTACCAATAATGTAGCTATGTGGAGAAATCGCACTCCAATGTCTAGAGATTAAACCTAAAACATGGAATTTCCTGACTCCTTGTTCTGCATTAAGACTTTATGCTGTGTTTCAAATTTCTTACTCTATACAGACTTATTCTATACTCTTTCCTTGTCCAAAACCTAGACCAGAGGATGAACAAATCCAAACACACAATGGAAGTGAAACTCTGAAATGGCAAACAAGACACTATTCAACGTATGGTGACTCTGATACCATTTTAAACATTCATATAGGGGAGGGGAGGGTCACTAGTGTATATATAAACTTATTTGTCCTCTAAAGTTTATCTATATCCTCAGTAATGAAAACCTCTTGTCAAAAGCGCCATAGCTGTGTGGCAAAATTTAAAAACTGAACATTAGCATTTTTTTTTCTTGATCAAGCCAGACAGTATTAGGGGAAATACTGAGATCTTACTTACAAATAACTACATACTCCAATATGGAGGATGTATTAACATCATTATTAATTTGGGGTTCAAGTCCTGGAGGGCTTTACTTAGGACAATAAACATGCACTGTCATTTCTCCCTTGGAAGCACTACCCTTTATTTACTGCCTTTATGCCACACAGTTTGAGGGGCAATGACTATTATCAGAAGATTTTAAAATCTACTTTGCCAAGAATAGGTTGTGGTCACCCAAAATTTCATCTACTATCAAAACTCCTATTCTCTTGGTAAAAGGGTACACATTTTTAAAGAAGACAGAAAGTGAACCTCTGAATATGATAACTAATCCACAGCAATTTGTGAGGTTGCTCACATTTAACACTTCCCAGAAAAACAAAGAAACACGTTCTCAAATCACACATCTCAAGTCTACTTCCTTTTATGGCTAATTTTAAAGGCAGGCAAAATACCACTAACACTAAAACTCAGAGGTAGTTTGATTAGAAGAAACATCATTACAAACACAGCAACAAGAACACAGAAGAAACTATAATCCTCCACTGTGATTTGGGTTTCAATGACCTCTGATCTAAAACATGCAAATCACTAAGATCTAGAGCAAAAGAAGAGTCCTGAAAGCTAATGTTTACCTGTCCCGGGGAACTCTCCCATTACCAGCCCCATCACCCCCCATATCACTTTTAGATCATTCCTAAATCTTAAACACATTTTCCCCTTATGTTTGAATAAAAAGGAAACAAAAGAAGCATGTTTGCTTCATCAGAACAATTGTTTCTATTTTTTTTTCTTTAGGTAGCTCCACTCTCCTGGGCAATGCTGTCAAGCTTGTATGGATCTAAGGAAATCAAGAAAAAAAAGATCTAAGACAAATAGACCTCCCTTTCAAAATGTTTTTTTGTCATCATCAAAAACCATATCGGAAATTTCCAATGGTGTTATTTGTCTCTCTAAAGAGGGAAATCAAAATTATTAAAGCAAAAGATAGATAACTGAGGGTTGCCTAATACTAAAGAAAACCATTATTTCCAAAGCACAAGGAAACAAGACTGTCAAACTAGTGTGGATATGAAAGTCTGCTCTTTAACAGCTAAGTTCTCCTCTCCAGGTTATGAAGACTCTATTTATGACATTCTATCACTAAGTAGGACTCTGGCTGAAGGAAATGTGAAAATTCCCAGGAATTTTAAACCTAGAGAAAGATGGGGCTGAATTCACTCAAGCAAAGATATAACTGAACCTAACAGGTGAATCTTGATGTGAATCTCAGGAAATAAAGGGGACTGGTATGGTTAACTGCAAGTTTTAATGGATAACAAGTGCCAAGAATGGTGTACTGTTGTAGCAAGAGCCATTGCTATCATCTCTCCAAGTTGTAGGTGTGTACTTTTGTGCTCTTCTCTAAAAGAATCATTAGAAACCAACCATTCCTCAACTGGAATGAAAAAAATGTTCAAATGGCTAAGGAGGTAAGTTCATTTTATAATATTCAGCTTTTATGTAAATATTCTTCACATTACTTACAATTAAATGACCTACAATTACCATATAGATCCCAAGTGGTGACAAGAATGATTACAGGATAAACTCACTATGTAACTACTATCACAAGGTAGAATAATACAGCAATCTTAAACCAGAAACGCATTCCCTAAGAACTACTTAAGTTCTCTGATAAGATTAAGTGCTGGATGTAATTTCTCTAAAAATTTCTAGCTCAATTTCTGAAAATTTTTTTCTTTCAAATTTCTGTTCTCTGAAAAGGCATTTTCTCTGCTAAGTTATCCTGAGGTGGCCCTTATAAAGCAGACAGAAAAATTTTCTGGAATGATTATGTCTACACAATAATTCTTTTCCCCTTCCACATTTAGTAACCATGAAAACCATTCAAGAATGCAGTCTTAATGGCTTAAATAAATCACCATGCTGTGCTCTAAAATCAACACTATATTAATGCTTCCTATCCACCTTTACTAATGAGACATAGTTTCCTTATGCTTAGAAGCTAAGCCAGCTTAAGAAAATGACTTGTTTATACCTATGTTAATACTGATGGTCACGTTTAACAAGAAGAGGTAGGTACATTAGCCTGAATTCCTTTGCTCAGCCAAAGAAAAGCCACATGAGGTCTCTGTCACTCCACTATAAAAAGCTGCAAGTGTGACTAGGATGCATGTCTGCAAATAAAACCAATTTTTGTGAAGAATAGGAGCTGTAAATAGTTTCAGAGATCCAATTCGTTCCTGGAAGAAAGTAACCTATTTCATAGCAACAAGAAATGGGACTGAGCTGAAAGGTATATACATTAATTTGGGGAAGAAAGTGATCACCAATTTTGGGAATACAGCAAAAGTGTTGCTAACTAATGCTTTTCCCTTAAATGGGATAAAAAGCAGGTCTTTCCAATATTGGAAGCACTAAGCTAAGGAATCAGATTTTCCAAGTTGTAATTTACACAAGCTAGGCACTCTGAACATTATGTCACATAACACACTGGCTTCCCTTTTTGAATTACAACATGACAAGCATTCTTTTGGGGAAATAGACACATATTCCCTTAGGCAGGTATACCTGGTTTCAAATCAGGCTTCATGCAATAATGAAGACCTACACATCTTCCTGAGATTATTAGGCATTATTGAACCCCTAAGCACAGATACAAAAAATATCATCTTTTGATGACATCTAAGCAATGTCCCTTTCCCTGACAGTCTCATATTTTACAATTTACTTTGATTCCACCACTTCACTGGAAGAAAATCATGTAAAAATTACATAAGAAAAGAAAAGGAATAAAACCCAAATATAGTTCAGTAAAAGATGAAGCTAAGAAAAATGTACTTTCCCTCCATAAAAGTGCTAAGGAAAAAGCTGCAAAAAGAAGAAAGGTCACTAAGGATGGGGACTCAGTTTCCCCAACAACAGGACCCACATAAGGAGTTGATGACTTCTATGATAAAGGACCACAGCAATATGAATATAAGCAATGGAGGGTAGCAGAATTTCATTTGGTTATACATCTAAAGTGCCATGATTCAACATTACATCAAGTGAAACAAGTCAATTCCCATTAGGAACTCTACAGATTAAGCACCCAAGTAGAAATAAAGCAACCATGAAGTTTAGGTCCTTTTCTCCATCTGAAACAAGACTCAATGGGATATAATGAAATTAACTGATTGGTGGCACAGCCCAAGTTTTATGTTTCTAAATGCCACAGAGTACAAACAATTTTTATTAAACTTCTCAAATGTGTAAGTAAATTACATTTACTCAACTGGAAAGCCAGTTGGTTTTGCAGACACAATTTGTGATGAACTACACAATCATTTGGCAGAAAATCTATGTTATTATTAAGTTAATAAAATCTAAACTAATTTTTCCACAAACTAAGATGTATATCTAACTGCTTAATAAATCTCTGATTGCTTTGGGATATTCAGAAAGTTAAAAAAAAAGCTTAAAAAATACAATTCTATCAGTGAGAGAAAATGTACTGCTATTAGTTTTCAAGAGAAGTAAAACCATGTATTAAGGAAAGATTAAAGAAGGACCTTGAAGTCTTACACCTATATGAGACCTTTTGAAAGCACAGGTCAGTTTCTTCTTTCCTTTATTGAGGTCCAATTCTGCTACCCAGAGACACACTTAATTTCTGTAGGTTACTCTCACACTGAAGAGCTATATCTTTTATTTTATGTTGAATCTGTTTTAATCATGCATAGTAAGTCATATGCTACATACATACTACCCAACGATGAGCAGAAGGCCAAGTGCAGGCTTCTGACATTATACTCCACTGACTCACAGTACCACATGTGAAAAACTGCATGAAAAAAATTAAAGTAGAAAAACCTACACGTCATATTTGTATTTGCATTTATTAAATGAAGTTATTTCTGCACCATTTCTTTTCTCCTATTTAAAAGATGCGTCTGGGTACTTAAGGAAATGACCGTAAACTGCACTCCACTGGACAATGACAAAAAGTGCCCTTTTTACTTTTTTAAACTACTTTCCACAAACCAAACACATAGAAACAGGAACAAGGAGTTAAAGGGTGTGTGGCTCTGCCAGTCCAAATTAAAAGCTGTGGAGCAGCAGGGCATACAGGGGCAGGTAGAAGATGCTGCCCTGTGTGCTCCACAGGAGAGAGAGCAAGGCCTATTCTAAAGACGTCCCATAGAGGCCCTTGGACCCCACGAGCAGCTCCCTCCCCTCTGCTGGCTATTTTTCAAGTGGCTAACTGGTTCAAACGTGACCTCCATTTTCCCAGTTTAAGGCTTACATGAGCAGAAACCAGATGTTTTCAACAGCATATACTACAAAATACACTTGTATCTTAATACTGTACACAACTCAGCCAGATGCCTAGGTCAAAGTTTCACTTTCTAGTTGAGAAGAGTATGAATCTGAGCCCTCTGTTCTTTCTCATGTTATACAATGTAATTATAAGACTCAAGTCAACACACACACACACACACACACACACATTACCTTAACATATACCAAGTAACCTGCAGAATTACATAATTGCCACAAACAATGTCAGGAGGTAAAGCAAGTGACATAGCTGCTTACAAGTAGCTGTGAGGAATAGGGTGGAGGAGCAAAAGGGAATGAGGACCAAAAACAACCCATTAAAACACACAAAACAGTCTCTCTGTTGCAGAAAAAAAAAGTATTTAAGAGGTGCCTATTCCATATACCCTAACCATTCCCTCCCCAAGATAAAAAGGGAAAACTACCTGAATTTTTTTTTTTACATTCAATAACTCTTAAAAGTCAAAAGGCAAAAAAAATTAACTGGGAAAGAACACCAATTCCACTTTATTAGCCTAATTTAGGAAAAGGGTGAGGAAAACGTGGTGAGCTGAGGGTATGAAGGAAGAGGGTCAAAACTTAAAACAGTGAGATCCCTTCAAAGATCTGATGTAGTCCTCTATCACTGCAACCTGTCAGTCAACACAGTCAAAATCCTAAATACTGAACGCAGACTTCTTTTCTTCACAGGTGTGTGTCAAATGACTCTTCATTTACAGTGTGATGAGGTCGACCAGGTTTCCTTTGGGAGGGGTCATGCTGTCTGGAAAGAAATTTACTAAGATATCAAAGAGCTGAGTTCTTTGAGCGTAGGTGTGATCCACATCCGAAAAGCCTAATGGGGAGAAACACAAAGAAAACACATCCAATCTATTTGAGAACCTAACCCACAACAGACAATAAAGCCAGCTCCAAACTCTCCTGGTCTGGTCCACTGAGGTCACTGGACGCTCCTACTTCTCAATTTTCATACAAATAGGGCTGTGCTGTCATGCTTGTTTCAGACATTCTAAAATTTCCTTAGGATGTTAACAAGAAGGCCTATTGTGAAGTTCAAGTGAATTTCTGGGAAGAGAGGAGGGGCTAAAAACCAGCAAATTATCAGCCAGAAACAGTTTTAGGAAGTTCTGAGAGTGAAAATGTACTTGGCTAAAATGGTTCAGCTGAGATGAGCAACAATTTATCAAAAAGTTATTTCCTTTTGTCTTCCTCTACTATTTAATTCTCAGGTTTCATCACATCTTTGAGTATCCAAAAGACACTCAATCCTTTTGGAAAACCTAATCTGTTGATCCCCCAGGCCTGAAATAGGTTATCTGAGTTAAGGTATAAATATATTTATCATTATTTAGAGATAGAACCATAAAAAAGCCATATAAACCATAGTCTTTAGTGTAGGCAGTTTCAAATCAATTTTCATTCAACTTGGGAAGGGCCAGACTCAGGAGTACAGTCTTGAGTTCACTCTGGTTTATCTTGCAAAACACAGAGGCAGAACATAACTTCACAAGGATAATGGCTTCCTGATGGAAAATAACCATTACAGCAAGGTAAGTACATTCAATTTTAAGTGAGAAGATATTGATCCAGTTCCTGTGTTCTAGTGCAATGATAGATCCATGATAGCAATGATCTGTGAGGAACTAATTACTCAATGATGGATGTAAGTAAGGTTTATGGTACTCTGACCATCCTAAAATTGACTTACAAGGCTTGTAATTCTGATCTACATGGTTTACCTTTAGCTCCTTTATAACATAAAGGACTAACGCCAGGAAATCTCATTTTCCTCCCCAGATGGCACAATAGTTATTCCATCTATACTTTCTGCCGAAACTTACTAAGGAAAGCATGAGGCTTAAGTTTTAGTTTGGTGTTAATAGTGAAAAACGAAGCCTAGAGCACAATATTGTCATCTGTGAAATTTATAAAGCTTTCATGTAAGATTACTAGTATGCTTTTACCAAAAGGCATCATGCCCCTTCCATAAAAAACAAAGAGAGACAGAGAGAGATAATATATGCTTCACCATGTTATGCACTTATGAAGTATGAGATACTGTTTACCCCTTATTAAATATCATAGGATTTCGAGATTGTGAACTTTTCAAGGGAAGAGTGAAGACTAGGTAATACACTATAACCTACAGATGCTGAATTTTTCCTATTTGTCACATGCCTTGCAAAAAAAAAATTGCTAAATCCCACCAATGGTCTGCATGCTTTACCACAGCAAGACATAGATCTCAACAAAGGGCTGAGCCTAATCTTAAAAATGACTAAAGAAAGAGGCTCACTAGTTATTTAACTGTTCCCCAAAGAAGCTCACTTTTGAAAAAGTACGATGACCAATGCTCATAAACCACTTTTCTAATCTTTACAAATTCTACATGGAACACTGGAAAATATCTAAATATTATTTAATCCCACCAAAGACCTCGTATAAATTGGGTATATTATACTTGACCAAGAGGAGTCACGTACATCTTTAAAAAAATAAAAACCAGGGATTTGGTTGAGGTCAGCAGTTTGAGAGTGGAATAAAAGAGATACCATTCAACAAAATATAAAGGTAATGATGAATAACATTTGGTTTTAATTTTGAGTTTCTGACAGCAAAAAAAAATCATCTGATATAAATGGAGTAATCCTAGAATCTTATGAGGAGAAAAGAAACACTTCATTTTTTGAGTGTAACTATTTAGGGGTGGGGCGGGGAGGAGAATGAGAGAGAGGGAGGAAAGAGAAGGGTTATTGTATCAAATGTTTACTTATAGTAAAGCTGGCATAAAATCTCACTTCTTGGGTTCTCATACTGGATTTCTTCACGCTTTTCATTCAAATTCACCAGTGAGACATTTAAAAAAATGACTAAGTTTTCAAACAAGGCAGAGGAAAAAATGTTAAGAATTCTTCTCTTGTACTGTTTTCTGCTAAGCATCGACAGCATCTGTTTTATGAGCTGCTGTGGCCAACCTTCATATTTAGCTAGTTTCATTCTTGGAAAACAGACACAGAGTTACCAGATCAATTTTTGAAGTTCTTCTAGGGTTACCTTGGTGCTACAGTGAGACATTAGAGTAGTACAATGAGAATATGAGACAACACACGGACAGCTAGAGTGCTATAATAATTATTATTATCATCATTATCACTTGCATTTATATAGTACTTTGAGGTTTGTAAAGCACTTTATAAATATTATCTAATTTAATCCTCACAAAAACCCTGGGAAGTAGATGGTATTATCATCTATACTTTACAGATGAAGATACTTGCCCAGGGTGGGTCCCAAAGCTAGAAATTATCTGAGGCTGGGTTCAAATTCAGTTCTCCTAACATGAGGCCCCGATGTCTATCCACTGAACCACCAGCTGATACCCCTGAGAGCAGAAGAACAAGACGACCTTCAGAATACTAGGTAGATCCTTTCTGGAGTATTATGGGAAAACTGCCTAGACTGAGAAGGCACTTATAGTTCTGCATCAAGAGAGGGACTACTCACAGCAATGAAGACCCCCTCAAAGTACTGGCAGTGAATTTGGCTATGCTTGGGTCACCAAAGGGAAAAGGAGGTATGACTGGGATAAAATAGAAGCTTTGGAGCCATAAAATAAATTATCCACAGAAGTGAATAACAATTCACTTGAGGCAAAGCTCCTGGCATTTAAAATCATTTGCTACTACCACCCTATATCCAGTTATCATCGGGAAATTATTATTATTACCCTGGAGGCTCTAATAAACCAAGTGGAGATAGTTTAGCCCAGTCCACCTCCAATATGATAAAAATTAGGGCACCAGGTTGTGCACTTTAGGCTGCTTTGCTTTACCACAACTAGGCACCAAGGTGCTCCATTTCTATTAATAAACATGCAGAGGGCACTTCTTCAACAATGGGACTCAATGGGCTCTCATACAGCACTGAGCTGGAAAGTCCTTGGGACTTTCCAAAGTGATGGGGAATCACCACCACTCTACTATCGTTATTTCTTAAGAACTCACCAGGGCCATACTTTGCAGAGGCAGGTATCAGACACTCCTGCAGCATATTACTTGAAATGAAGCTAAGGGCACATGGCTAGGCTTTCTAGGTACTAGGGGAGGTTCCAAGCGTTGGTTCTACAGCAGACATTCGCTACCTTTTCTCTCTCTCTATCCCACTAAAAACAGTGGAATGAAGAAAACATAAAATATAATCAAAATTGTTTCAATAGGATGACGTGAGAAAAAAATAATGACATTTAACTGATGACCCAAACAGTCATTTGCAATAGGAATTCCAAAAGAAAGGTAGCTGCAAAATCATTTCACTGTAAGTTTACCTCTATTGTAAAATCAATTCTATAGATCAAATATTTGCCAAATGCTAACAGTAAATATTTCCTTAACAACAATGGAACAAGAGTTAAATTATTTTGTGAATATATTTTACATTAGTAGAAGAAAGTTGCAGAGTTCCAACACATGGTATCAAGACATTAATGGTTAAAACTCGAAATAGTGAGGATAAGAACAGTAAGACTCTTAAGCTTTGTAAGATATGAAACATAGAATAACTAATAATGTAAATAACAACAACTATAGCTAACATTTATAAAATGCTACATGTCAGGCACTGTACTAAGTACTTTAGAGTTAACACATTCGATCCTCATGACCACCCTGGGAGGTAGCGCTATTAGTATTCCCCACTTTATAGATGAGGAAACCAAGGCAAACAAAGGTGAAGTGATGTGCCCAGTGTCATAAAGCTACTAAGTGTCTGAGGCTAGATTGGAAATCAGGTATTCCTGTCTCTAGGCCCAGCGTTCTATGTTCTGTGCCACTTAGGTGCCCCCCGAATTTGTCTGATTTACAGCTTATAATATTCCAAATAATTAATGTTTTGGTGTTAGAAATCACTAACATTATATTAAGATGAACTCTATTAGTGAAACAATGGAGGCCTCAAAACTTATAAAACAGAGCTCTGAAAAAGATAATTCCAAATACTCTTAAACTTTATCTGGGCTTGATCCTGAAGAATCAGTCTCAATTTCTGTCCAATATAGGTCCTTTGCTACCTTCAATTCCACTGCCCACAGAGTTCTGTAAAGAACAAGCTTCAACCATCTGCACACTTATCACAGCAAATGTATTAGCAATACTGCCGCTGGATTCCAAAGCAACGTGATACAAATTACTTTGTTTTGACCAAGCTTCTGTTGCCTTCTGTTTGCATAATAGCACAGCATCTGGTGTAACAGGAGCTGCAAACTGATCCATGGAGACCCAGATCTTAAGAACACTGGTGACTGACACTTGGAAAATAAACTTAAAGCAAGAAAGCCACAGGGACCAGACATATTGCCTTGAAACTGTATGTATTCCACACCCAACGATAGTAAAAAGAGAAATGCCATTTGTTTGATAGATTAACATCTAACCTCAAAGACTACGTATTTGAAAGATACCCAAACACAGAGTATGACACACTGAACAGTTGAGTTACACCTGAAGATATACGTACCTAGTGCTGTGAAATCTGAGCCAGACTTGAACAAAGCTGAAGCTAGGAGCTGAAACTAGAAAGAGGAAAAAATTAGAGCCAAGTGTAAGAGCTCACTAATGTGAGCAATAACCCTGATAACTCTGAGCCTATGTGTACAGTTTTGATCAGTTTTATCACCAGAGGCTAGAAGGAAAAGTAGTATACATGCTTATTCTATTGCTGGACCACTTCTCATCTGTACATACAGAGCATAGTTTATTTTCTCTTAAAAATCAACAGTACATAAATTTGTTCAAAGCAGCATATGCCTTTGGATTCCAATAAATATCAATTTTTGAGATCAATACGCCTTAATTCTGACTTTCCCTGTAGTCTTAATCTATAGCTAACTATGTTAAACGGCTATACAAATAACAGTTTTAGAAGATGGAATGATTATCATCTACAGGAAGATAATGAACTAACAAACAGATTGCATGTTCCAGAAATTTGTTTGTAAATTGGCGACTGTGCCCCCAGAGCAGTCCAGCAACTTTCTCAGCTCCTACTGAAGCTATCAAATATTTTATATTCATTACAAATTTTACAGGCAATGAAAAATTGTAGAAAACAAAGCTTCTAGAATACCAGCAGTTAAGCAAAATTGAACATAAGGTAAGAAAAAACTTTTCAATTTACTTTGAAAGCTGGTATTTGAAGAAAAGGTATAATTGGAGGGTGAGTTAACATAGTTTTTCACTCTAGACACTAGGTATCATTAGACTAAGGCAGTTACAGTTTGCTGGAGGTGAAAATGAGAAATAAACAGACAAGATAGTGAGCAACTTGTCTCAGTTGTCTGGATGTATACAATGCTTATAAGCCAAGTCTTTGTAACTCAGGGTCTATTTATACATTTGGCAAGGACCTATTCGAAAATGAGGTGACATCAATTTTGATGACTGCTATAAAATTAATTATCAAAGATCAGATAACAAAATAATTATTAAATAAAATTTATGTAAATCACTATGCATATGAGGTAATTATTAAAGACCAGGCCAAAGCCACACTCCTTTTTCTTTTCTATGGGCCCATGTGCAATTCCCAGTGAGCTTGCCTCACCAGGAACCTATAATGAACCATGAAGAAAAGCACTTCACTGTGAAATAAGTTGGTCACTGGCTAAAAGCAAAGAAGAAAAAGAACTGAGACACAGCACTGGCAAAGAACTCCCAGGTATTCTCAGCCTGACCACTAACTGGCCCTGCACCCTGTCCTAAGGCTGCTATCCCACTTGATGGAACTGTTTCCATTGTTCAGAACTCACCTCCAAGCTTAACATCACATGAAATGGGGCTTGTCTTGGCTTTAAGCCATGTCATTTAGTCCTACTGTTTTCTAAGGCTTCCTTTATAATGACAGAAAAATATTCATAAACTGTCTTGTTCTTTGACCTCTTATCAGTTACAAATTTAGCACCCTTTGTCTCTCCTAGGATTTATGACCCTCAAATTCTTTTATTATTTTGGTTGCTTTCTCCTCCTTGCATATCAACACATTTTTCCTTCATCCATGTCTCTTTTTAACCCTGAGAAATTCTGAAACCCATAGCACTCAAGGTGGGAGAAGTGTCTCTCCCCTCCCTGGATATGTTCCCCTCTATTTATAACTAATGACCAAATTGACTTTTTTCCTCATCAAAGGCTATATATTCTTTTATTTCTGGTTTCTGTTCTAAACCCTCCAACAATAAAGACATCACCTCGCACCACCATTTTGCTTAAGCAAGCAATTAAATGTTATCTCTCAATTCATAAATACTTTTCAAAACTACTAAATTATATGAAGAACATAGGGGAAAAAACTCTACTGAACAGCCTACTTAAGTGGGAACTATGAACTTGGGACATTACCAGCTAATAGATGACATTATGGAAAATGAATGAGACTAGATAATATAGGATATTTTGAGAATGCAGCAGAAATATTACTTATTTGGAATACTGAATTCCTATGTCAGTTGCAAACATAAAATTAATTTTCATTATGTGGGAGCTCCTATTCCTTACCAATTATAGATCCCCTTCCTTTGTACAGTGTAGATAAACACTATCAATGATCTAGAAATCCCTTCTAGGGGTTTGTTCTGGAGAAATTCTTATAGGATTAAGAGTTCAATCCTATCTAATCAAGAGTTCAGATTCCACAGACAACAAGAGGATAAAGAATCACTTTGAGTACATAATAGTAAGTGGATTAATGATAAATCCTAGAACTGGAAGGGATCTTAGAGATCACCTAAACCAACTTATAAGAAAGTAAAGAAACTGAGGCTCAGAGAGACGAGATGAAGATGGAAGAAAACTACACAATAAACTAATATGGCAGTGGAAATTCCATTCCATATACGTGAAAACATATATACAAAACAAAACATAACTCCAGCAGAGAGGAATAAAACAGTGAAAATAGAGGCAAAGAAAAGTATAGCTGGGGCAGCTAGGTGGCATGGTGAATAGAGCTCTGGCCTTGGAGCCAGGAAACCCTGAGTTCAAATCCAGCCTCAGACATTTAACACTTACTAGCTTGTGTGACCCTGGGCAAGTCACTTAACTCTAATCGCACGCGTGCGTGTGCACACACACACACACACACACACACACACAAAGATAGCCAATTATCTTGGTTGCAGCTGGTTTCTGATATATTAGTTGAACGACTTATCGAACAAGAGATCTAAAATGCTTTGCTAACAATTCAGAAGATGATTGTCTCCAGACATTTACACACAGATTTCTGGCCCAACAATAATAAATTGTAATTTTTTTTCACACACATAAAGAAAATGAGAAATGAATGGGAGTGTAGTCTTACAGACCACTAGCAGGGTTAAAAATATTTAATGTAATAGGCTCTTTGCTTGAGAAAGATTACCATCAGGTTCTAGATGACACTGCTCAGGTTCTCTGTGGTCAATCAATAAAGGCAAAAATCGAGGCACAGATAAAAAGTAGCTTTGTCTTAATTTGAGGTACTACCCTGTTCTGACTCTTATTATCAACCACTTGCATCATCTGAGCCAAACAAGTGCCTTAAGAACAAGCTGTCTATTTTCCTTGGCCTACTTGTAGCTCACACAGCTGAAATGATTTATTTGCAATGTTACTGCGGTTTTGGGGGTGTGGTTTTTTTTTTTTGGTGGTGGTTGTTTTATTTTTTAAGAAAGAAAAAAAGTTAATACAGTTTTCAGGGTTATGAATTTTTTCTCTACAGAATATCTGCCTGAAGAAAATACAGAGACCTATTTATAAACCTCAATCTGTGATTTATAAAATGGACCCTCCACAATAAAAAGGCAGGCACAAGATACAATAGGAATAAGACTGAATGGCTTTGCCATTGGGCATAACCATGAAAATCTTTCCTTTTTCCCACATATTCTAAGTTGTCTGGAGGCTCAAGGGGAAAAGAAGACAATTATCTATTCCTTTTTAGATGAGTTTTAAATGGAATCATGCTGGGCAATCCCATAGCATGGGGATTTAACCAGAAGGGAATTCTTGTTTTCACAGGACACAGCCATGAGACAGTCTCACTTGTTTTGATGCTAGGGTAGCTGCAGACCCTGGTGTTTGCCATCACAATGAACCTGGTGCCTAGAAGTGATTCGTCATTAAATCTGAAACCCATGTCTGTACAGAGGAGAGCAAAGTACCATGTGATGACGTTCAGGTACCAGAAAAAGAGCTGAGTGATGGCTGGAAGGAATGAATGGCAGGGACAAAACTGCATTCAGCCAGTACCAGTTCTATGAGTGGCAGACAGAAAGACTTTGAATTGCAGTTCAGATGTTGCAGGATGGGCTTGTGAGTTAATGCTTTAGTGTCTTCAGAATGAGAAAGGACAGCAGAAGTGTGACAGCAGAATCCTAAAAACTGACGAAGAGGCTACAATGCAACTATATTAACATCAGCCAGTCAGACAAAATAATCTTGAAGAATCCTGCCCTTTATGTTTGTTTCTATTTAACACCTTCTATAAAAGAGAAGTAACAAAATGAGAGAGAAAATGAAAAAAGATTTCTTATAAGCTAGTTAGATTCAACGTTAAATGAAACTCGTATTCAAACCACACTGTTACATTACAGCAAACTTGGTAACTGCTACTCAGGCTGCAATGACTATTGAGATCCCTCCTCTCAGAACTTGAAACTACCAAAAAGCAGAACCCTTCGTTTGAGGGATTTGGGAGTAGAAACAGAAACAAGAGTACATATTAAACTACTTAGCAATTCCTCAAATAAATGAAAAAAAATTTTTGAGGTTTCTTTTCTTACATCTGCATGCAAAAAGTTTCTCAAAGTAAAACTTTACACTCAGAAAGACTTTCTGTGAGGATCAAATCTTTGCTTTGTAACTTGCATTTACAAAGTTATATGAAAACGTTTTTATTTAATGAAGTTCTCTCCCATATGCAATTTGAGATTATTTAGTGACACCACATTTCCTTCCATCTTTCTTTAAAATCATATTCCTGACTGAGTAACCTATAAATTAAAGGAAAAAGATAATGTAAAATCTATAGTTAATGTAAGATCTGAAGACGTATTCTTTCTCTGTTTTTCTAAAGATTTTGTAGAGTATACTGGATTCTCAGTTTGGGACACAAACTAAATACCTAATAGCTTATATATGGACACAGTGGCCAATAAAAATATTATCTTCTGGATTTTTTCTCTAATTTGTATCAATTATTCACCATTATAGGATGAAAATAAGATTAACCATGCCTTTTTGGGTTTATCTACAAGAATTCCAAAAGTTGCCAACCAGAAAGAAACAGGTATATTAGCAAACCAGCAGAACAACTATTGTTAATATTCTTCATAAAAAAAGACAAACAGAAATATTTTAACACAAAGCAATGTTGTTTTACTTTTTCCCAAGAGTCATCCGAGTATTTCAGACACGACATGCAACTGGAAATAATTTGTTATTCTGGTTGCTAGGCTTAATTTTTTTCCTCTACTAAGCATAAGGAAAAATAGATGAATCTGGTCCTATCAACATTTCACCATTTAACCTCCAAGATTTGTACAGTCCTTAGAAAAACATACCAGAAAACTGCAGTATTGTATTACAATGTCAGCTATAAGAACACAGACTTTAAATGCTCTTATAAAATGGTCTATGATGTCTCATTTTGCTTAAGACAAAAAGACATGCTGTTTCACAAGCAAAGTTCTGAATTATCTATAGAGCTTTATCTGATTAGGGGGAAAGTAATGAGCATTTGTAAACATACATGCCTCATATATCTCATTTGATTCTTACAACAACCCGGAGAAGTAGTTGTTTTTATTATTCTCATCTTACAGCTGAAGAAACTGAGACACAGAGAGGTTAAGTGACTTGCCAAGGTTCACAAAGCTAATAAGTGTCTGAGAAGAATCTGAACTCAAGTCTTCCTGACTCCAGGCCCAGCACTCTATCCACTGTACTACCTAACCACCTCAGATCAGACTGGAGAAATGTTTGAAAACCACTATGACTCCTTTTGTTTTTTTTCCCTTAGTACAGGGATGTAACTACTTTGGAGAGAGACTGCCCAAGCCTATTCTGGGATCTTGAAGATGGGAGGTATTCACCTGTGACAAAAGGTAAAGCAAGAAAAAATGAGATACTGGAACACATCAAAAGCAGTCTCAACAGAATCTAATTTGTCAAAAAGAAAGCAGTGAAAACAGATTTTTAAGCCTCTGAGCAGAAACTAACAAAACATGCAAAGGCAGAGTCAGTAGGGAAAGAAGGGAGCAAAAATCAACAATGAAAAAAGTAAAGTTTTTTTTATAGACATTTAAGCATTGAACAACTGAAAAAGTAGTAAAGAGGAGCTAGAGGAGGAGGAGGAACCCCAGGGAAAGGCAGAGATGGTGAGCTGAAATTGTCTCAGGGCAACCTCAAGCACACAGCTCCTTTAATTTGGCATGGTCCATTTTGTAATGTGCCCACAGCCTTCTTTTCATGTAAATAGAACAATTTTATTGAAACAACAAAAACAAAACCACAGAACAGCAAGTTAGAACCACTATAAGTCATAAAATCTCTGGAGTTAGTGGTATTATCAACTCTTAGTCATCCATGCTAATAGAAAGGAATTATGGCACTGAGGACACAAAAACAATGAATAATGCTACCCTGTCAAGCAATTTATATTTAGTCTTGGAATGCAATTATGATTTCTGGAGAACCAGATTTATATTCCTATGTTCTACTTAGCCTATATTAAAATAAGTTACCATTTTCTCCAAATATACCAAATAACAGTTTTGGGGTAAGAGTGGAGGAAATCAGCCCAGAGGTATGCTGAATAGTAGATGAAAGCTGCCCAAGGATAAGATAGTCCCCAAAATGGATAGTTCACAGAAAAGACAACTGAAAACCAATTATATTTCAAACATAATTTTCTGAGGTTTGTTCCTCACCTCTTTTGTTTCCTCTGGGTCTGAATGATCCACAGTTACATAAAGGTCATTCTGCAAATATTTCAGAGCACTAAGAGGATCAGTCTGGGCTTTTTCTTCAAACCTAGAAAATGATAACCAAATAAAAATGATAATTGGATATGGTTAGTGATATGGGAGATGTTCTTCAACTACAGGGAGAGTAGGGGGCAGTGGAGAAGGACATAAGTACTAAGCAATGAATTTGGTACGCTCCCAATTTTCTGGTATGGGAGCCCAGGAAGGAGCCAAAAGGGTGGTACAGCTGGATAGTGTTCCAAGGGAAGTAGCAGTTGTCTAGATGGCCTAAGGCCACAGTACTGGTGACATTAAACCTAGGTTACTTTTCAAATCTGCCAATAACTGAGTGGAAACATTCCTTATGATGCTAAGTCAAGTTTACCTGTCTGAGAATACCATTAGGTAAGTTATGAAACACCTAAAAAACTTCAAGCACTAAATATTATACACAACAGTTGGAGGATAAAACATGGAAGAAACATTTTTCAAGAGATAAGTAAAAACTGTCTCCTATGGGGTGTTTACTTGGTCTGAACCCATGATTATTTTTCCCAACCAGGAACTCCCACTATGGAAATTCCCTACACCCATAAAGCTTCAGCAGCTCGTCTATAATTTAGGGTCTTAGTTGCCTTGGGCACTTAAAAGTTAAGTGATTTGGCCATGGTCTCACAGATCAATTCACAGCTCCAGCAGCAGTACCCACTTTCTCACAGCTCCTTCAACATACACCGTTATTTGTCTTTTATCATCTTTGTCAATCTTACACATTTTAGAAAAAAATCTCAGTTGTTTCAATGCGCATTTCTCTTATTATTAGTAACCTGGAACATTTTTTCACATTGTTCTTGACAGTATCCATTTCTTGTTTAGAAAACTGCCTGATCCTTTTATCACCTACCTATTGGGTTAGGGTTAACTCTCATTCTTATACACTCATATCAATTTCCTCTATCAGACATTTTTCAACAATTTGCCATGAAGATTTTCTTCCAATCAGCTCCTTTTCTCATTTTAGCTACACTGATCTTGCGCAAATACTTTTTAATTTTATATAATTTATCTTACAGATTCTATCTCTTATGATCATCTCTAGGTCTTATTTATTTAAGAATTCTTCTTTAGCCCTAATTATAAAAGGCAACTTCTTCCACTCTGCAGCTAATTTTTTAAATAATGTGACCTTTTATATTTAAGTCTAGCATCTATTTGACAAACTGTTTTACATGGTGTAAAATGTTAGTCTAAAATGAATTTCTACCAAGCCACTTTCCAGTTTTCCCCGTAGGTCTTACTGAATAGGTAATCTTTATCCTAATATTTTGTTTTGGGGTTTACTGAGTGTAGACTACTATGTTTTATTACTTCTAGGTCTTACTAATCTAGTTTATTCCACTGATCAGCTTTTCTGTTTTTCAATAAGCACTAACTAGTTTTGATGATAACTTTTATGATAAAGTTTGTAAAATTCTCAATTTAGTTGAAAGGAATAAACCTGGGGAAAAAACATCATTGATGTTATCATATAAAAGGGTGATAGAAAAAATATCCATAACTACTAACACATCTCTACAAGACTTTTAAAAGGGTGATAGAAAAAATATCCATAACTACTAACACATCTCTACAAGACTTTTATGATCAATAACCATATTTATGCTTGATATCAATAAAATTATTTTAAAATAAGTTGATGAATAATATTTTAAAGTAAAATTTTATTGATATCTTTTGTTTTTACATAATCTACATTTCCCAATATGTTCCTCCCATTCTCTCCCTCTGATAACTATATTTTGTTTTAAGAAATTAAAAGAGGAAAACAAGTTTAGCAAAACTAACCAATACATCAAAAAGGCCTAATAATATTTACTGTTGTCTATAACCATAGTCAACTACCTCTTCAAAGGTGGAAGAGAGGTGCCTTCTCATATCTCTTCTCTGGAATTAAGCTTGGAAGTTATATTTTCACAGTATTTCATTTCTTCTTTTGAAAATAAATTTTCATTGTTGTCTCTGGTTTACATGTCATCTATAACTCTCACTCTATTACTCTCCCAACCCCACCCCCAGAGAGCCATCAACTATAACAAAGAAGGACAAAAGATGAAGAAAAAAGTTCAGCAGCACTATCCAACACATCAAACAAGCAGGGGAAGTGTCTTCTTCTAGGGGACCAAGTCTGGCTGAAGGATTCTGTTTCCATCGTTTTGCAGTTGCTGTTTCTTTCCACTTACATTGTTGTAGTCACTGGTTATAGAGTTTTCGTGGTTCTCCTTACTTTACCTTGTATCCGTTCACATAAATTTTTCATGTTTCTCTATATTCATCATATCAATTGCTTCTTATAGCATAGTAACATTCCATTATATTTGCATATCACATTTGTTTAGTTATTCCCCAGTCAATGGGCATCTACGTAGTTTCTAGTTCTTTGCAACAACAAAAAATATTTTGTTGCATATGTAGCCTTTCTTTTTTTTTTGCATTGATGTTCTTGGGGAATATGCCTAGCAGTAGAATCTCTGAGTCAAAGGGTATGCACATTTTAGTCACTTTCTTCAAATAACCCAAAACTGCTTTCCAGAATGGCTGGCTGGATCAATTCAGAGTTCCACCAACAGCGCATTAGCATGCCAGTCTTTCTATAGTATCTTCAACATTGATTATTCTCCTCTTTTGTCACTTTTGCCAATTTGCTAGGTGTGAGGTGAAACCTCAGAGTTGTTTTGATTTGCATTTCTCTTATTATTAGTAATTTGGAGCGTTCTTTAATATATTCATTAATAGTTTGCAATTCCTTTCAGAACTGTTTGTTCATATCCTTTGACCACTCCCTTGGGATCTTGTCAACTATTAAAAAAAAAAAAGCATTTGACTTGGTAAAGCAAAATTCTCTGGACAGTCTCTCCTCCAATCCAACAAAGGAACTCTCATGCACATGTCAAAATCATGTAAGATTACTTGAAAAATGTAACAGATTCACTTTTGTTCAATAACCATCTGGTTATATGCGAAGCATAAAACAAGGAGACATATACTTACAAAAGATATTGTCACCATCAAGGAGAATGTTCAGCGCAGAGTCCAAACTCAAGAGTGATTTCCCATAGATGAAGAAGTCCTCCAAATGCTCCTGTTTATGGATGACATTGTGCTGATTGCATCAAGCCCCAGAATAGTGCAGAGCAAAGATCCATAATCAACTGAGAGAGTTCAGCCTAACTATCCACATGGTAAAAATCAAGTGGACAAAGAATGCCTAATATCCAGACTATGATATGCAGTTGAATGGGCAACCTAACCAGTCCATCTATCAGCACATATATCAGGACAGGAGCTGTGGATGGACAATGGACTGTGCCCAGAATTTTAAAAATGCATGCTGCACTCACTGCCTTTGGAAAAATGGATGTTTGGTTTTGTTTTGTTTTTTTAAGACCCCACACTTCTACCTGAAACACAGATCCATCTTTTTTAACATTAATATTCTTCCAGTGATGCTGCATAGCTCTGAATCATGGAACATCACAGTCCCTGAAGAATTATAGTTGTGGGTCACTGAGAGGTCAATGGAAACACATCGTGGGCCTAAATAGGCTGCAACATATCACCAACAAAGCATTAGGCAAGGGAAGTAGCTTTAAGGATATAATCAGAGAAATGTCTATCTGGAAAAAGAGGCCAGCTGGACATGCAGTGAGAGTGATAGATGGACAGCCTGTGTTGCTGGTATCCATTGGTATCCACATAAAGTTAACAGAACTTGAGGAAGGCCCTCAACAAGGAGAGTGGCCCTCTAGCTGAGGATTTCTAGGAAGACACAGGCAAAAGTCACACAGTATGAGAGGGTATGGCCGAGTCAAGATCTTCACTGTTGAAGGGAGCACTCAAACTGATGCGATCACAAATCCACTGAAGTACCAAAGTATTGAATACAACGGGATGCCTTCAAAATTCCAGATTCAAGCTCTTCAGTCCATTAAGTGCTTTATTGGGGGAAAGTAGTCCTACGGATTCCAACTGTTTTCTACTAGACACTGCAAACAACCTTGTGATGTTTTGGCTTAGGTAAATAACCAATATGGTGGTCATATTTTTAAAAATTCATTTTTGTGGTTTTCACTGAGAACTCAAATCAGCAGTGGTCAACAGGCTTTTTAAGAAAGTTTGTATGACTTGCACTTCTGGGTCAGTCTACAAGTCACTTCAAGGATCTTTGAATACCACATTTTTAGAACTACTGAAGTTGAAAACAGGTTATCATCCCTACCTTATATCTACAAGAGAGGTTAAGCAGAGTGAACAACAACAATAATAGCTGACACATGCATGACATGTAGGCCAGCTACTATCATTATTACTGACAGGATATACACAACTTTAATGCTTACAAAGTATTTTATATATATTATCTCACTTTATCTATACAACAAACCTCTGAGGTACTTTAGGTGTTATCCCTATTTTACAAAAAAAAAAAACACCAAACTGAAAATCTGCACATTATCAAAAAACTATTAATGCCAGGAATGTGTTTAATTCCATTTTTCTCTTGCCTACTTTTCCCCTCCATCATGTTAGAATGTTCTTCTATTTTCCCCCTAATAAGACTACAAATAGGAAGGAAGGGGCCACATTCCACACAAACTTTACTTCCCCTTTAATACATAATGGGTGTCACAAAAGCTTTAAGATAGTTTTAAGCTTGAAGATAATGGCTTTATCTTCTTTAAGATGAAATAGAAATAATATACTCCTCTCATGTCATTCAATTCAACTCAATATGTTTTTATATATTTTCCATGTATTTTTTCCATATATTTTAAAAGGTTTCTATTTTTCATTATTTTATCATTTGAATTTCATTTTTCTGTTTTTGTATAAAGTAAATATAAGCATAACTATGTTATCTTTGTGACAAAGCAAACAGTAGAAAATGGAAAGTGTAGATGAACCAATGAAAATTCAGTAGGAAGGTAAAGCTTTTGTGGGCTCACAGACATAAGGAAAATATCTGCAAGGTTAAACTATAAAGTGAAAGTCTTATGTATTTTATTACAAATTACTATAAAAGTCTTAATGTAGTGGTAAGCAGAAAAAAATAGATGCACATATAAAATTAGCTAGCTGATAATATCTGATTATGTGACCTGATAATTTGTGCAGTTGTGCTATGTTTTATATAAACTGGGGGGGACAAATCACCATATGTAGAGCTATGAAAGGCTAGGAAAGTGAAGCCTGGCTACTGACTCTCAACTAATAGTAACAGCTAGCATCCATATAGATCTTTAAGGCTTGCAAAGCACTTTATCTATGTTATTTCATCTTATCCTCACAACAACCCTGTGAGGTAAGTGGTGTTATTATCTCCATTTTACAGATGAGGAAACTAAGATTAGAAGAAGTTAGCAGACTTGTCCAGGGTCACACAGCTACTAAGCAGGACTGTGAAGCAGGATTTGAATTTAGGTCAAGAAGTGGAGTTAAACCTAACGTTAAATCTATGTTTAGAAAGTGCTAACGTTTATATGTAGGCCACCTAAAACACTGTACATTGGAAAGGAGGTTTAACAAAATATAAGCTGTATGCTCATCACTGAGGGCCACTGTAATTGTTATTGGTTTAACAAATTTTCTAAAACCAATCAATCAATAAGCTCCTATTCAGCAACTACTATGTTCCAGGCACTGTGTTAGGTACCAGGGACACAAAAACAAAGAATGAAACAACTTCTACTCTCAAGGAGCTTACACTCTAACATTCTATAAGTCTTTACCAAGTAAAAAGAAGGCACGTCGAGGGTGAAGGCACGAGCAGCTGGGGACAGCGAGGGTGTTTCTGCTGAGCTCTGAAGAAAGCCAGAAATCCCAAAAGGCGAAGTAGAGGAAAGAGCACAGAATACGTACAGTTCGAGAATATGAGATGACAGCCTGCACCAAGGTCAACCTGACTCGACTGCAGAGCGCATAAAGAGGAGAAAGATAAGAAAAAGTTGTGGAAATATAAGGCAGAGTATGTGGAAAGTTGATCTGGAGCCAGGTCATGAAGGACTTTAAATGCCAGCTAACAGGGAATAGAAGACAGAGATCAGAGGCAAGGAAACCAATTAGCAGGATATATCACAACAGTTAAGTTGGACGTGATGAGAATCTGAAGTAGAGTAGTGGCCATGTGAATGAAAGGAAAAGGAGGAATCAAAGATGACCCTGAGGCTGCCAATCTGGATGACTAGAAAGATGGTGGTGCCCTGCACAGAACAGGAAAGGAAAGAAGACAGATGGGTTTGAGGAGGAAGAAAGTGAGTTCTATTCTGTATGTTGAATTTAAGATGCATTGTGTATACGATATTACATCTTGAAAATTTCTTTTTCTAGTACCTTTAAGTTACCAGGTTCATGTAAGCTAGTCACTTTTTCTCTAGTTAGGAACTTTAGAAATAATATTTTAAATCTTAATTTCAAGGTGAGAGCAAAGGAAAATAAACAAAACCTATCACTAATCATAGCACAGTTATACTGTAAGGTTATTAGATTTTTCAAATAGACTATATCTCCAAATGGCTTTTAGCTGGTATGGTAGCTTCAACAGATGTTTTACTGGAAAAAAAAACACCTGTCAGACTATTACTTTTATACCTGTGTTTCCTTATGAGATATTTACAATGCCTCAACAAGTATTCCTTTGAAGGACGGCAGAGTTTCAGTGACCAGAAGTCATCTAATCTCATCTTTGGAGAACAGGATTTGCCAGGATTTCCACCAAACAAATAATGAACCTACAACAGAACAAATGAGATTTTAAAACTGCTTGCATACTCAAAAGTGTCCATAAGTCACAGTAAAGTCAGGCACTGAAGTTTAAAAAAAATGAATACCAGAGAACTTCCTTACACCAGTGATAAAAATCTATAAACACGCTGACATTTTCTGCACAAAATAATTCCCTGTTCTCCTTAGTTTGCTCTGTGTAACAGTCCCATTTCTACACCTCTCAAAGTCTCCATTTAACTTCCATATGTTATTGACAGCAATGTGACCTTGTTAAGAGATGTCTAAGAGACAAATAGAAAAGGAAAATGAGATGCTGAAGTAGTTTACAATATAATTGGAAATAAGCTGAGAATACATTTTAAAAATATCTATGCAACAAAAGCAGTGCATGGCAATGTAGAACATAAGTGTTTACAGGATGTCCATCAAACTCTCAGATCATCCAATGATTGTTGTGACTATCTAATATAATAATAAGAGAGCCACAGAAATAAAGGAAAAAAGCCCTGTCTCACAAGAAAGCTTACAATCCAGCTAAATAAATATACAGAATATAAAACATATCAGAGAATAAAAGCAGCATTTGTACATGAAAATAATTATTTCTGCCTCAGCATATTATATTTACAATTTTGGAAGCCGCTACCAGATGAAAAGTGGTTCCATTTCCAAACTAGCCCTCGAAGGTATTTATGAGGAAAGTAGTCTTTGGGAGAAGAGGCCTGCCATTCCCACCAAAACCAACAACCAGCATCAGCAGGTAAGTCCAAGAGCCCCACAAATAGCATTAACTCTCCCAGCTCTTCTTTCTATCAGGTCCCTATGGCCATCACTTAGGGAAGCAGCCCTTTTGGAGATTGGGACCACTTTTTCCATCACCACCAATATGAACTGCCCTACCTAACGTACAAAGGTAGCCCAAAGGAAAGACAGGTGGAAGCCTATAGCAGGCAGGTCACTTTGATCATCACTTCCCCTCAGTCCCTGGTGGCGATAAATCAAGACCCTGAGCCCGAGGCCACAAGAACAGCAATATTCTAAAGACCACTGGCCCTCACTCCAGAGAGCCAATCAGTTGCTAAATCTTGTAACTTCTTTCCCCACCACATATCCTGAATCCATCTCCATTCCACTCAAACAACAATTTAGTTTGGGGTCCTTATTACCTGTTGCCTGGACAACCGCCAATGATCTCCTAATTGGTTTCCTTGCCTCAAAAATCTCTCTCCACAAAGCTGCCAACATGACCTTCCTGAAGCACAGGTCTAGCCATATCACTCTCTTACGCAATAAACTCTGGCACATTCCCATCACCTCTCGAACGACTTGTTTGGCTTTTTAAAAATTGTTCTCCCTCACACTCTTATTCAGCCAAACTGTTCGTCTGGTTGTTTCTCAAACACGACACTCCAATTCCTGCCTCTGTGCCCTGGCACCAGGTGCCCCCCATTTCTGCAATGAGTTCACACCTCATCTCTTAGAACCCCTAGTTATTGTGCTTCAGAGCCATTATCTACATGAAATCTTTGCCGATCCCTTCAGCCTTCCTTATTCTTCTCAGGTACAAATGACCTTGTATTAATTTTGTCTATAATCGTATCGATTATCTCCCTCACAGAATGTAACTTTTGTGGGCAGGAATTGTTTCATTTTTATCTTTGTACTCCCAGTACAAATTGATTAAATGCCAGGGGTGCCTGGCACATAGCAGGCATTTACTTAATTATTTTTGGCTGATTTGTAACCTAGCAGATTAAGTCCTAGAGGGCTCAACGTGTGGGTGCAGCACACTTGAGGATGTTTTCCTTTACATTTTTGGTAGGCACCACAGGTTGTATAGGCCTGAACTATAGGATGCTGTCTCTCTTTTTCTATTGTCATAATAAAAAATAAATAATAAGACGACAGTCCTTTCTCACAAGAAAGCTTACAATACAGCTAAATAAGTACATAGACTATAAAACAGACCAGACTATAAACAGCAGATGTAAAATCACTAAGGGAATACAAAGAGCAAAGGAGTTATTACATGAAGTTGAGTTAGCCTAGGAAGGCTTCCCATAGAAGGCTTCTCAACTTATGTCTTATAAAGTGACAGGCATAGACTTCATGTAAGCACCTCACACCAGATTCTACCTCAGTTTATATGAACCAGCATTTATGAAACAGGTTCTAAAACATGTTGGGCTTCAATAAGAGCTGGCAAGAAGAGTCAAAGACAATTTTCATACAAGATCATGAAACTGCAATTTTTAAATCGTCAAAACTACTTTATTTTAGTTATTTTCTTACAAAACTACCTCTTATTCTAAGAAACCATATGGCTGTCCATATTTAGTCCCGCACAAACATCAATTTCTTTCAAGTAGGTGAAAACTGAACTTCTTTCGCCCTCACACTGCATTCTGAGCCAAATTTCTACACATATCCAAAAAACAGTTCCCTTAACTTGGGACAAAACACATATTTTTTTGCATCTTTCCATGAAAATGTTCTTTTAAAGTAAGAGAATAAAATCTGTGGCAAAAAACTAACATTAAACTTTGTAACAGAATCTAGTATGAGAATCATGTCAGTAAAATATGTAGAAAAAACCACACCTTCCCAAATATAAGAATCTGAGGGGTAAAAATCTCAACTCTAAGAGAGGCTTATTAAAGGGCCCCTGTAGATACCAAAGGATAAGCAGTTGAACTTATACTAAAGAAAGAAACTTTAGAACTCATTGTTGAAAAACTGCTATCAATAATATGAATAATTTGCATTCCAATCCAATTCAGGAGCATTTATTAAGTGTCTATTATGTACAAGTTGCTAGGCCAGGCACTGTATATATAAAACAAACAAAAAAAACCTCTTCACTGTCTGCCCTCTAGTTTTCTATTTTCCTGAGAATCCTACTGAATTTACATTAATATGTAAATTACATAGGTGATTTACATTTCCTACAGTGATTTAGTTTATGAAACACTTTACACATATTCATTAAAACTTGAGGCTTACTTAGTAAAGCAGCACAGGTACTATTCTTTCCATTTCATAAGTGAGAAAACTGAAGCTCAGCTAAGCTAAATCACTTCCATGAGGTCACAGAGGAGGAGGTAACTCAAGGACTTGAGAGTAAGTCTGTCTTTGTTCCTAAGTCCAGCGGCTCTATTTTTTTTGGTGGGGGGGGAATTGGGGTTAAGTGACTTGACCAGGGTCACACAGCTAGTACTTGTCAAGGGTTTGGTCTGAGGCCGCATTTGAACTCAGGTCCTCCTGACTTCGGGGCCAGTGCTCTATCCACTGTGCCACCTTGCTGCTCTGGCTCTATTTTCTACTGTGCTGTATCTCCCTATCAATGATGTTAAAGGAAAAAAACAATGTCAGAGGTGATTCTGAAACAAAATGACAGGTATAGGATTTTTTAAAAGAACAAAATAAAATAACAACACTTATTTCTAAACCATTTATAATTGTCTTCAGAATGCAACATTCTAAGATTATTTTTTACCTATTATGTTTAGCTGGAGTAGGGAAGAAATAGCTTCAGAACCATGAACACCTGGATTCCAGTGGTGACTGATTTAGACTGGCTGTTCGACTCTGGGAAAGTCATTTTACTTCTTAGAGCTCAAAGTGAGAAGTAACTAAGTTTGTCATGATCTGACCTCTGTCCAGTCAGAAGTTGCAGAATAGCTGCACATCTGCTCAACAGTTTCCTCAGCAGGAATTCTCTACAGTAATGACATTACAGGTCTAAATCACCCACCCTCTCTATAAAACAGCATTAATAATTGAATTTATATCTTAGGAGGAAATGCTAAAAGTTGACAAAGTGATCTGGGAGCATGTTGTAGGGGCCATGCTTCCAGGGAGTCAAATTGGGATTAAACTTTGCTTTAAAAAATATATACAAAGCTAATCAAAAGCTGATTGCAATATTAAATGAGAATATTTCTCACTTCTTTTTTTAAATTTAAATTTTATTAATTTATTTTGATTTATCAACAATCACTTCCATATGCTTTTGAGTTTAAAATTTTTCTCCCCCCTCCTCCCCCCCACCCTCCCCAAGACAGCACACAATCTGATACAGGCTTTACATTTACATACCCATTAAACAGATTTTCACATTAGTTAAGTTGTAAGTAAAAATTAAAACCAATAGGAGGAACCATCAGAGAAAGGAAACAAATCTCAACAGAAGGTAAAAATAAGTGATGGCAATTCGACTTCCATAGTTCCTTCTTTGGATGTGGACAGCATTTTCCATCCCGACACCTCTGGAGATGTCCCAGTTCCTTGCAATGCTGAGAAGGGTTCAGTTTAACAATATTAGTTACCACATAACGTGGCTGTTATTGTGTACAAAGTCCTCTTGGTTCTATTCACTTCACTCAGCATCAGACCATATATGTCTTTCCAGATTTTTCTGAAGTCAGCCTGTTCATCATTTCTTATAGCACAATAGTATTCCATTACATTCATATACCACAACTTGCTCAGCCATTCCCCAATGGATGGGAATCCTCTCAATTTCCAATACTTTGCCACCACAAAAAGAGCTGCTATGAATATTTTTGTACATGTGGGTCCTTTTCCCATTTGTTTGATCTCTTTGGGGATATAGCTCTAGAAGTGCTATTGCTGGATCAAAGGGTATGCATTTTTGTAGCCCTTTGGGCATGGTTCCAAATTGTTCTCCAAAATGGTTGGATCACTTCACAACTCCATCAACAATGTATTAGCGTTCCAATTTTCCCATATCTTCTCCAACATTTATCATTTTCCTGTTTTGTCATGTTGGCCAATCTGATAGGTGTGATGTGGTACCTCAGAGTTGTTTTGATTTGCATTTCTCTAATCAATAACGATTTAGAGCATTTTTTCATATGACTATAGATGGCTTTAATTTCTTCATCTGAGAAGTGTCTGTTCATATCCTCTGACAATTTATCAATTGGGGAATGGCTTGTGTTCTTATAAATTTGTCTTAATTCTCTATATATTTTAGAAATGA